AGAGGGCCAACCCGAGACAGTTCAGGTTCAGCATGGAGGCCTTCAAATTCCTCGGCTTGCACGACCAGGTGAACAATCTAATATGTGTCTATACTCTCTGATCTTTTACTTAATCCAAATAATTAATACCACAGTGTAGGAATACTCTGTTGCATGTAGTCTGACATTTTTACAAAAGTAAAAGTACAAAAGTGTCAATATATCTTGTCTTTGATCCGACCACAGCTCTGTTATTCTTCCACTTGATGAGAAGTCTGTATATCTGCTGATGTAATGACAGCGTGTTGTTTTGCGTTCAGGTGTACATCAGCTGTTCAGTGCTGATGTGTGAGGCAGGGAGCAGCGGCACCAGGTGCTCACAGGGGTGCATCAACTCCCCCCTTACTGGGCATCATACTCACCGCAAGAGAGAGGCCATCACTCAGAGCGCCAGGCACTTCATTTCCCAGGGTCCTCTGCGTTTGAAGAGATCAGTGGAGAGCACCCGGAGCCCAGGTACGTTTTCCCTCAGAACACCTGCCTACTTTGAGGCTACGGTTGAAAAAGTGAAAATTAGGTCCTATGTCTTTTTCTAACCACTTTTCCTTAAGGAAATATGTGAAAGAGGATTCATCAGGACTTAGGAAAAGAGACTGCACTGACACTGGCAGACTCTTATGCTATCATACAGCTGACTACTCAGAGCGCATCTAGATACTTGGCTCTGTGTATTTTTATCATGTTTTCCGGACTCTATAAACGTACAGTACAACTTGTTTGGATTACACATCTACATCTACTCCAACTGCTACACATGGCCTACACATCTACTCCTAAATTAGAATTGCATTTAAAGAACTGGGGTTTCCTGGTGAAATGCAGATATAAAGCTGAGTATCATCAGCGAAAAAATGATATTTTACATTATTATGGTTTATTATGTTGCCAAAAGGAAGCATGTAATGTAAATGGGTGGTGATGTGAATATGTTGTGCAGTATGTACATATATAATATATTATCAGCTTAAATACATGTGGTAAAGCACATGTGTACAGGTATGCAGTTAGTATAATTCATTGTATATACTTTAACATGTACAGGTATATAAAGGGTAGTAAAATAAATGTATTTACTAGCATGTGTTCATCTATATAATAGGCTAGTTATATGATTATGTGAGTAACCAATACAAGTAAAGTTGCAACTGCTTCAACTTGCTTAAAACACTGGGGATTTAACAGAGGCAATCAATCAACCAATTTGGCCTACACATCTATTCCTATGAAAATCACCATTCAAACAAGTTTATTTAAAAATGCATAGATTAAGAAACACAACTTGGTAAAAAATGTTAAACTTAATTAAATCATTTTACAGTAGTTAGCTTAGCGTTCATAGTTCTCCTTTTGGTTTAACATATTGTTGAAAGTTACATAAAAGCACAAAATATGGCATAAAAACACATGATATATAATATTGTAAAATACCTAATAAGCACAGTAACTGACATGATCTGAGTTTTTCTTCACGGTTCGTTGTTTCTGTGGACAGCCGAATGTTGACATTTAAATTATGCTTCTCTTTTCCTCCAGGGACCCCCATGAATCTGAACCTGGTGTTCATCGTTGGATGTCTTCTTGCAGCCGTTGGAATGATCACTGCAGTGGCCCTGTACAAAGTCAAAGCATCAAAGATCAAATACCAACCGTTGGCCTCTTTTGAAAACTAAAAAAAGCGGCTAGTTGAGAATATCCATTTATTTTTCCTGCCTTGTGGGTTAGAAGTGGTTTTAATTGTGTTATTAACCACTGTTTACTGTGTAATCCCATATAGCTTTGCAAGTGATTGTTCTTTCATGTACTGCATTATGATTCAAAACTTGATTGAAATGTGTGCCGCCCAATCATAATAATGCTAAATGTCATCATTACATTTTCAGCTTTAACCTCATTTATGCTTAATGTCTCAATAAAAACATATTCTCTTAAATGTTCTTTTTGCTTTTGTCCAATTTACTATCTTTTTCTTCTGCACATAAACAAACACATCTTGGATAGTCTGGTTTTAAGTTATTCAAACATAAATGTTTCTTTACTGAACCTCATAATGTTTTAGAAGTAGTGCAGCAACCGATCAAATGTTAACACCTGCAGTAATCATTAAGTAATGAATGTGATGGAAACTTCTGAAGCAATGGAGATGACACTCAGAGTTAAGAACCATAAGGCAGCCTCACCAGATTGAGTGTGTGACTTGGCTGTGGCTGTAAAGATGGGTTTGAAAAAACAGCTTAAAACAGTCAAAATATTTGGTCAATGACTGGTTGAGGAAGATTATTACAGAGGGTTTGGGACTCAAACAATATAAGATAATGTTTGGTATGATAACGTTAAGTAATCAAAACAGTGATAAAATGAACTACTTAATAGACGCTTTTATCCAAAAGCAACTTACATACATTTAATACTGTGGGCCATCCCCACTGTGGCAATTTGGGGTGAAGTGTCTTGCCCAAGGAATCACTTGATTTGGTTTGCTAGTAACTTGACAAATATGGCCGGTGTCGGTACCAGATGTGTTCGGGGTACCATATGTGTTCGGGGGCCGTCTCTTACCAATGACGTCACGCATTGTACGCATTGTGATTGGCTGTACGGTAATTTACCCAGGGGTGCTCGGGGGCAAATCACATCTACAGATCATGACGAACCGAATTGAATTATTCCTATGCTCCTAGCGTGTGAAAATGTTTGTGAAAAACATGTTAAAAAAACATGAAAACGGAGCAATGGCTGTACGCCATTGGCTGTACGGCAACTCAAGAGGACCATCATACACGGTCAAATTCCGAACATTTAAACATAGCCTACACTTCTTTCTTTACTTTGTCCGTTATTATATGTAGAAGATGAAATACCTCTCTGAAAGGTCCCAAAGTGTTCATTTTGATGGGCTGTCTTCTGAGTGGTTAAGCATCACTAATGATTTTCTGACTTCTGACTGCTTTGGATATATAATTACACCACAATAAGGTTTTACTATCACAGTGCACTGAGAAACTGTAAAGCACTTACGCATCACTGTACACTGTAAACCAAGGCGGTTTTGCCATCACTTACTGTACTGAGGCTCAGTCACTGGTACATTTTCATTTACAAAGCCATGTTGGATAAAGTACCATCTTATATCTGCTCCCTGATCT